CCCTCATTCTATCATTGCATTGGCATAGCATTTTAGCTGGCATTTCGAAAAATCCATCTCCCACTTGATCCATAACAACAAAAATCAGCCTTAGTGGTTTTGCCCTCAGCTCGAAGGTGGATCTTGAATAAGTATAGTGTTAGTAATGACATAAACAATAATAGAATATAATACTTCTGTGGACAGGTTTCACATCCCGTATAACACCACCCTTTTTAACTTTGACAACTTTGTTTTTTACGAAATACATATTACATAAAATGTAGCATTTGATAGTTAATAGGCTGTTAAATTGAAATTGATACTTACTTCTTCTCCATCCTTCATTTTTAACCGATTTAGCCTTTGCACTGTTTTGGTTGAAACTTGTTGTTAATGTGTTTTCAGGCTTTTCATTGGAAGAGTTGGTCAATCTCAACCACTTGTTTTTTAAAAGAAAATGTTTGAATCTTCAAACTTATAACGGGCAACCAAATATTGTGGTTAAATTGTCATAAATTTCACCTTGCTCCAAATTAATGATTCTTGAATTTTTAGATTTTCCAATAGCAAAGTCGCTCTAGATGAGAAGATTTTCTTGCTTACAAATTTGACGATCGTTCAATTAAATGTCATATTTATTTGCAAATGTTTGATTAATAATGACAAAGTAAAAAAGATGTTTCCTTGCGGTTGTATGAAATGACATATAATGATGTAATGACCAAGATGAGAGGACGGTTACCCGCATTTGCAAGGATGGCATTTAATTGGGTAACTATCGTACCAAAGAGAGTTATCTTGACAACCAATCCCCAGCACCCAAATTGTATATTAGATTTGCGATTAGAGTTAAAGTCATGCATGCTATTTGTTAAAACTAAAAGAGGAATTAAATACTTGTGAAGTTATAGTTGGAGCCTCCTCGTTGATAATTTTTCCAGTGAGTGTTAGATGTCAACAAACCTGAATGCTGAATAAGTTGGCCAACAACATTTGTGGAATGAAAATTTAAAAAAGTTAATCAATGTTTCTGGCTGTATACAAATTAGATTGAAATAAATTTGAATTGAGAATAGTAATTCGAACCTGAAAGAAATTTTTCTTTGGTTGCACTTCTTGCTAAATGAAATTAAACTTGCAAGCTGGTATGACTGGAATATCATCGCATGCTTTGACTTCTGTATTTGATTCAAACTTGATGACCAAATTGTTCAGAATTGGCCTATAACCTCTCATTGTCATATTGGCCATAAAGTATTGATAGTGTAAATTCTCTAGTCATGAAATAGGGGACGAAAGTCCTCGATTTTCCCTTTGAGACTTTGCACCCAAATATCATTATCTTGAAGAAGAAAAAATAGGAATATTCATAATTTTTCAAAAATCAAATCATATAGTTGAATTTGCGTGTTTGTTGTCAATTTACACGTTAAGTCGATAACTATCATATCGAGGCAAAGAATCATATATGTCTTGGAATTTATCATATATGTCTTGGAATTTATTGGCAGCCACTTCCTCGAAATCTAAGGATTTAAGGATTAAAGAATCCAGCTCCTTTTTAAATTGTGAGATCATATATCAGTTTGAATTGCATATTAACTAATTTCCAATTAAAGCAACTGTGAATTTTGTTGTTGTTTTACAATGGATATCAGATTAACTCATGTAATAAGCTAAATCTTGATTCTTCAGTGTGTGATTAAAGAAACATATATTAGCTTTTTCTAAAATAAGAATCTTGACATATATAACCATAGATATTATGGGATCTCCTACAGTAACTTGAGTATAATTTCAAGTTAGGTAACTTGCATAGATCTAAACCGTTAAAATTGACCAAACTTATTTTAAACCATTGATTAAAGAAATAAAAAAATAAAAAAAGGCAACATGGGTTGCCGATCACCACATTCCCAAGTTACCTTTTTTATTTTTTTCTTTCCTTTTTCACATTTAGTTGTCTTTCCATATTTTAACCTTTCATTTTTTAATTCTTATTGAATTAGAAGCGTTACGTAAGGCTTCCATAATGATATTTTACAACTGTTACGTAAAATACACATTCACTACGTAAAGATTATGGAATGATAGTTATTTCTTACGTAACGGTTAAATCGGAAGCGTTACGTATGACTTCCGTAATGACTTAGCACTTTACTTAACGCAAAGTTGATACTCATTACGTAAAAAGACCTTCCATTACGTAAAGGTTACGGAACGACAGTTATTTCTTACGTAACAGTTAAATCAGTAGAGTTACATAAGACTTTCTTAATGACTTAGCATTTTATGTAACACGAGGTTAATACTCATTACGTAAAGACACATTCTATTACGTAAGGCTTCCGTAATGATCTTTTACAACTGTTACGTAAAATTATCATATGTTACGTAATCATTATGTAATGCCTATTATATTTTACGTAATACGACCTATGAAACCCGCTATAGCAGGTAAAGAAATTCAAGTTACCTTCCTTCAAGTTACCGTATGAAATCCCTAGATATTATATTGGTAGTAAAAGTAAGGGTAAATAAAACTTATTATACAAACCTTTCAAACTATTCAAATTATTAGTCAAACCTTTCAAACTATTCAAATTATTAGTCAAACCTTTCAACGGAAACTAACGGAAGAGTGACTAAATGTGACATGTTTCAGTAATTCGAGTGACTAAATGTGACATGTTTCAATAATTCGAGTGACCGGAGTTGGACAGGGGCTATAGGAGAGTGACCAAATGTGACATGTTTCAGTAATTTGAGTGACCAAAATTGATATTAAATTTTTCTTGTGACTAAAAACATGACACGATTTAGTAATCTTAGTGACCAAATATGACATTTACCCTTTTTTTTTGTATTCCTATTCAATGCAACCACTATTTGTGTGCCGTATATATTTTGGAATTAACTCATTAGTTAAGTTTTGGATTTGTAATTTTTTGTGGGTAGTGATAAATTCAATTCTGAATTAGTGTATTATATATGTATTTTATATTATAGTGCATGATCGATTCTATCAACGGTTAACTAATAGTCATATATGTATTTTATATTATAATGCATGAACGATTCTATCAATGTTTAACTAACAGTTCTATATTAATTAACCGTTTAACCATTAATCACTAACTTTTCCGATTCAGCATATGATCCATTTATAAAAACAGTGATTTCTTAGACCTGCACATCGCAAGTGTCTCATTAAGTGCCTAATAAGGGTTAGGTCGTGTGTAATATAATTATTAGTTAGCCCATATACGGTATTATTATTAGCTAGCCATTGGTTAGTTAAAGAAGTTGGAAATAAGTGGCCATGCATTGGAGGCCCATACATTCCGTGCTCTAAGTCCCTTTAGAATAAAAAATAAATAAAATGACTGAAGACTCCTTCCGTGGTTTGCGCTAGAGCCAGGAAAAGTGAGATTAAGGGGGTGCTGATGAAGAACCTCTATATATGTATTGTTTGATTTGATTTGATTTGATACTTGGTTTGGTTTTGGGGTTTTTTATGCTAATTCCCATAGCCTAAAACGACGCCGTTTTCCAAGAAAGCAAAGCAGATAGAAGACATTGCTCACATGGCTTCCCGCAGTCACAAATTCATTTGCTTAGATGTCGGTAGGGTGTTCAAATGGTTACCGTGGTAATTACCAAACCAAATAAATCTAAATTCTATTAACCAAGGGATAAAATTTCATAGCAAACCGTCCAAACTAATACAACAACCAAATTAACTAAACTAAAGTTTAATCAGTTTGGTTAATTGGTTAACCAAAATAACCAATATAACATCACATTATCATAAAGTGAGAAAAAAATTCGGCTAGTGCATCAATTCGCCATTCATATAATGAATAACATATAACAATCAACAAATAATTATAGCTAACCTCTTACATAAATACATGTAACAAACACAATTATCTTACATTTGACTCTTGAGTGGTTATGCAATTTATTAAGTATGTGTATATAATATATATTAGATATATGGCTAATTAGTTAACTGGTTAATTTATTTTGATTGGTTACAAGTGTCTAAAACCAAACCAAACCAAACCATGTAAACCAAACAAGCTAAACCGAACAACCCACCCCGCCGCCTCCCTTTGACCAATTGACCCTTCTCTTTCTCCCCCACGAAACGCAACACGTGGTCGTAGTTGTTGGGCACAGCGAAAATATGGTAAAATTTAGGATCGAAAAATAGAGAAAATTATTTCACTCTTTTATTATTATTTTTAATCTCACACACTTAGGCAATTTTTGCCTTACAAAGAGCTCTAAAAGGTATGTCACTCTAGCTTTCTTGCTCTCTGTTGTACTACACAACCACATGAACCTTCTATTTATACATGAGCTCACCGCCATTAGGAAGCTCCTAGACCATCATTTATTGTAGTCGGTTCTGTTAGGATAATTGTTATCCTCTGCTACTACTATTTTGCTTATCATTTGAGCTACATGCTACAGCTAGTTTTTTTTTTCTTGTATTAATTACAAACTCAGTTCATTGTTGCCATGTTGTTGCCGACTTGGTTCTATGACAGCTTTGCCTTCATATTTTTCACGTGCAACTTTTATCCATGTCCACTTAATTCTAGAACTCTGGAGAATTGCAGATTACCTGCTTGACAGTAGTTTCGGCCTCCTATTTACTATTTAGGGCACCCCCTCGCTTTCCCTGCAGAATTGACGGAAGGAGTCGATGGCTATCAAGTAGCGAAAACCGAAGCAGCCCTGGTCGTCTTCGATCTCGACTACACCCTCTAGCCTTTCAAATGCGAGTTCTGCGACAAATCCGACTCGCCGCATCTCTACCGGCAGGCAACAGGGATACTATTGGCGCTGAGTGAGAAAAAGATGGTCGACCCCAGGAGTCGATCGCCAGAACTTTTCTAGCTATAATGGGGATTCAATCCATCTCCGTCGCGTAGTACTCCTAGTTACTATGTAAGCGGAACGATCAGCCTGTGAGAACCGGCATTGTGAGAGCTGGAGATGCCATATATATATATATAAAGAGTGGTGGTTTGATCATGTAATCATCACACCGATATACAATATTATACATCATGCAATGCATGTCTTGCATTGATCAAATTGGAATAAATTAATACACACACGATTGAGGCTCAGGAACAATTGGACCGACCGACCGACCGACCATTCTCTTGGTAAGTTAATTAGCTTGATCATTCATCATCCACGTCATAATACAACAACAGTCTAGCCCGAATACGGCAACCTGCAAAATGGAAAAAAACAACAACAGTATATTAACATCTTGAAGGTATCGTCAACATGCATGCATATATGATAATAAATAGAGTGGGAAACTAGATCAGAAGAACGTACTAACCCCAATTTGAGGGAAGTGTCGGAGCTTTCATAGTCGTGAGGAGGGGCGCCATTTGAGTTGCAGACGTTTGTAACAGATTCTGATGATTGCCCGTCCTCATACGCCACGTTCTCTGAATCTGCCGTCACGACCGCCGCCTCCGCCTCCATCGTCGCTGCTTCTGCGGCAGGTCTGCCGCCATTGGTCATCTCTTCTACCTGACCCCAAAATTCAGCATATCTTTTGTAAAGAGAGGCAGATTGTTATCGTTTATCTCTTGTACTGTGATTCTCGACAAGCAGCAAACAATTCGCTTACCTGATGTCTTAGGCGCGCATTCTCTTCCATCAGTTGCATTCCCTGGCCAAATCAACAAGTATCAACTCTGGCATTAGACATATAGCTTTTTCTAACACAATTCTCTTTAATCTGTCCCCATGCATATTGGCAGACATGATGTAACGGCCGAGATTTCAAGCTAGGCTGACCTTTCTTTGAAGCTCATTGATGTCATTCGTAATTTTATCACCCTGTAGAAAAAGGATAAGAAAACAACTTAGGAATGGACTATTGATGAGATGATGGGATTTGTATAGGTAAAAGGGAAGGACCTTCTTTTCCATGACGCGGGTCAAGCCAGACTCGAGAGACTTCTCCAGATGCTGCAGTTCTTCAATGTTTAATCCATTTAGATCTTCTCCCCTCATTTGCCTGTTCCCCATCCAAATTTTAAAACCCCCATTTATCCTTTCACTGTGAGATGAGTACACAAAAGCGCGGATAATCCTTCTAACCTGAGTTGGCGCGTTTTCTCGGCGACTTCCTTGCTCAGCCGAGTGAAGTTGCTGTTCTCCACCAACTGCAGCTCCAGTGACGGCTGTTCTAGTTTCTCGAGGTTCTTGGAGTGCAAGTTGTGCCTCTCCAGTATTTCCTTCATGCTACAACGACATGCACAAAGTCAAAACTATGAGACCCACCCCACAAAAGGTGAACAAACATAAACAATATTACTTAAACTCAGTTTCTCGGGAACTAATTAAAGACCAACCCTTTATTTATTAGGGGAAAAACCATGGCAAAGTTAAAAAAACAATTGCAATCCTGGCAAAGCCTATGACTAATCAAACAAACAAGGGGGAAAAAAGGGCAAAACTAACAAAGGAACAAGCAGGCAGTTCATGATGGTAGGCCTCCAATGGAACAATTGAGAATCTTCACATTGATTAGGCAAACACTTTGTTCCAACAAGGACCACCTCCTTTTTAGCAAACCACCTACTCTATACTATACTCTTTATAGATAAGGAGAGGTAGCCCAGAGGGAATCAATGCCCAGAAGTTGGTATAGTCCTATAAGTCTTTGGTGGAACCAATTTATGAAACTCTAACTCCTAATAACCAAGGTACTTGAAACCATCTCTAATTAAGACAACAATAGTTGACCATTTCGAAAATACAAAGAAAGAGTGGAGTTAGACGGACACTAGTAAGTTCCATCCAAACCTTTTGTTTTAAGGCAATAGAAAGTTCGTCTTAATAAGATTTTTGGGCCCTTTTGTATTTCTTATGTTTCCCGTTTGTTCCATTGATGTCAATTTAGCTATCCTTAACATATAACAACATATTAAATTGAATGCCTATATCAATCACAATTTCAACTTATCATAATTTCGTATGTTCGGACTATTCTTATCACGAAAGTAACAAATATAAATCGTATTCCTTATCCAACAAAGCTATACTATACTTTTGCTTCAAATTCTTTCACTTAATGAAGAACTCCTAACTTAAGTTACACACTTCGTAGTCCACAAGACTACAACTCACCATAACCAACATCTCTACACACACAAAGTCTATTATAAATCATATGTACTTCAAGTTCACTTGCATGTGCCTATCAGCAACGTAACGAGTCTACCATACCACCACGTATTCATGTTTAGGACGAAATATAAGATTGTATATATATAGCCTGCCCTTACAAGTACAGTTTGCACATGGCAACTGTGGTCCTAGCTAGCTAAGCTAATATATGTTTGGTTTCCAAGGCACACCAGGCAGCAAGCTTTTGCTACTTTCCATGAGACCCTCACTATGCACATTCACATATTAGTTTCGGTTCCAATGCAATTCATCCAAGCTATAGCTTTCGACACCGGCGGTATCACTTTTCTTAACTAAATGAGACGAGTCTTGTCCAGTTTCGAGGATCAATCAGCATTAGACTTGCGAAGAAAGAAGGGGGGTATTAAATAACATCACAAAAAAGTACTTCACACGATAATGTTTTGCAAAATATGGGGCACTCAGGAAATTTCCTACCTTTTCATCAACCCACAACTTCCTAGAGCTTGAGGTTGCACTACGTCTATACTTGCATGGACCACTAAACCGACAAGGTAAACAGAACCCAAGAAAGAAGAAAGCATACAACCACAAAAAATTGAAAATAATAAAGACCATAACAATTAATATTCCACAATATGCTGTATGCAATGTGAATATACATGTATTTATGTATATATATGTATGTATATGGCAAATGCTAATCTTGTATGCATTCACTCTTATTAGATGTACTTTATTATACCTTGACGAATCAGAATCGTCATTGTTGTTTTAAATTAAATGATTCTTATAGTTTGAGTTTAAAGAATTAAGGATTGGAGTTCACCTATTATAAATTGGAGCATAGTATAATACCTCAAATTTCAATTAGATGTATTATAAATTTAGTGTATGTCAGACTATGCTGAGCTATGTAAATAGATTTGCATGCTAAATTCTCAAGTTTTTCAATAAACCCACCTTCAAACATGTGGTTGTTGTCTGAATACTTGCAACTTGCTTTTCTGAGGAAGACATTACAACCATATAACAACGCTCATGGAATGACTGTAAAAAAAAACACTCATGGAAACTGAAACATTTTCTTTGATGATATAAAAATATATATAAACTTTTGAAGAGGTCACTCCTTTAAAAGAAAAATTGTTCAGAAAAGTATAACTTCAGTATTTTGATGAAATCTGAATGATCACAACCCAATACATCACACCTGATAATTATTATAGATATTGAAATCTTAACTCTCTTTCATTTTAACTAACATGGGTTCACAAATGACAGCGTGAGGGATTCCCCAATCTCTCATTGACTTACCAGCCAGTGAGATTTAAGATGAATTCCTGCTACTGAGAATTTCCCAGTCGCGTAATCTATGAGCACAATTTCAAACTAAGATTCTTGGGGATAATGCCAACTGTTTCCCAATAAACAACGATAACATTTTTAGATATATATAGTTTTAAATATACATTATTTTACTATTTTTCTTTTCTGACTAATGCCATCAACTTCAACTATCTTCTTATCCTATCCTCTGCGGAGAACAGTATTCATTCAAAAATGGAGGACCCAGCAGTAGAAGCAAGCAGGCACCATACTTGTTCTTCCTTCCTCAGTAGATAAGATACATACACACGCATCAGTCAATCACTCAGAACAAGCCCCTTTTTTTTTAAACTCTCTAGAACGCTTGAACTGTATTTCATGAATGGCTTCCCAGAAAATTAGAGCAGCAAAATCATCTTTTCTTCCTTTCTCATCATGGTGGCATTTATAGTTAGTACTACACAAATGGCCAAAATTAGTCAAAAGTTCAAAGGAGGTTTCCATGTACTCAAGCTTCAATTATAGAAACCCTAATATTTTACCCAGCTGAGAGAAAGGAAGGAGAACCAAGAACACACTCAAAAAGTGAAGTGAAATGAGCGTTTCTGCTATGTAAGGAAAGGAAAGCAGGAAATTAATGATGACAGCAAAACTTAAAGCGGAGAAATAGAGAGAGGTAGGGTTGGATTGAGGTAAGAGAGAGAACCTGGAGCTGGAGTAGTGAAAGAGCTTGCCAGTGGAGGAGAAGATGATGAGGGCCACGTCAGCATCGCAGAGCACAGAGAGCTCCTGGGCTTTCTTGAAAAGTCCCCTCCTCCGCTTGGAAAAGGTCACCTGCCTGGCCGTGGCGTTGTCGATCTTCTTGATCTGTATCTTCTCCCTCGCCATTTTTAATTTGGGGCTGCGATGGGATGGGATGGGATGGGATTTAATACTACCTTCTACCCAGAGGGGAAAAGAGGGTAAAGGAAGGGGAGACGGACAGACGGTTATCGGAGGGAAATTGGAGCCATTTTTTTTAAATCTCTTTTGCCAAATTTAGACTGGCGAGATTTGGGGCAGTGAAGAAACCGCAGCAACCAGAAACCCTAGCTAAGTTATCCGAGAAACTAAGCAAAAGAGGGAGGAAGAGGATCAATCAAATCTTCCCCCTCTCCTCCTTCTTCTTTTGGGTGTTGTATTATTTTGGGTTTCTCTCTATCTCCTGTTCTCCAGATCCAAAATAGAAAGGAGGGGGCAAAAGAGAAGCTATAAAAGGAAAGCGGTGAGCTGCAGAAACCCGCCAATCGGGAAGTAATGGGAGGGAGTGAGCTGGGATTCGGATTGGGATTGGCTCTGCTAGAATGAATGATGATTGATGTCGATGAATGAAGGTGAGCCAGAATAAATAATAATATTTCTTTTTTGGTGTTGTTTTTTTTTTTTTAAATTCATTTCATTTGAGAGTTGATAGAGAAAGAGATAGGGAGGATAGGTGCTCTGCTCTGCTTCTTTTCTTGGGGGGTGATGTCAGATGTGTATGTGTTTTGGCCTTTTGGGCATTTTGGCGTTGTGAGCTGTGGCTGTTTGCTGTTTTTTGTGGAATTCGATTTTTTTTTCTCACTCTCCTTTTTCCTTTTTATCTGGAGTAGGAATGGTGGGTCTGAGCTAGGGATGGCAATAAAACCCGAACTCACGGTATCCATCCGACCTAACCCGATCAACGCGGATAAAACCCATGTTGAGGGGTTTTGGGTCGGGTTTGGGTTTAAACCCGCTACATTATTTATTGGATTTGGTTGGGTTTGGGTTTAGGTAAACCCGCTCCATGGGTACCCGCCCACACACATATAATTACTTTCTCGGTATATTTAATATTCTAAATAATATACCTTCCTTAAACAACTAATATTCTTTATGTTTGTGGAGATATGTATAATTTGTTCTTTCTAGTTGTTTAGAATGAAGTTGATATTATGGAGCGGAGAGTGAAGAAACTTAGTTGACGAGTAAGAAGCTTTCAATTAATCTGTTGTTTATAGATGTTTATCTTTAATTTTGAACAATTTGTATTGATCATTTGCGGTTTGCTTGTATGCTCTAGATTGGTGTTTTTTGTATGAATAATTTGTATGAGAAAATTGATGTTAAACTTTTATTTTGAAAGAAACTTGTTATTGTAAATTTTTTACCACAAAAACTCACGGGTACCCATGAACCCGCGGATACCCAGCGGGTTGGGTTGGGTTTGAGTTTTTCAAACCCGACGAGTTTTACCCCGGGTTTTTTTGGCGGATAACCCATGAATTTGGATTTGGGTTTGACAAAACCCGCCCCAACCCGACCCATTGTCATCCCTAGTCTAAGCTGAGGAGTGAGGTGCTCTAATTAAATTCATCCTCATCTCTAGTTTTTAATTGGGTAAATTGCAAGTTTGGTCACTAGGTTTGTCAAAAACGTTTACGTTTGATAATTTCATGTTTGAGGCCCCAATCAATTGGGCTTCCTTGTATGAGGTTGATCCGGCAAATTGGATGACGTATCAGCCTCCCCAGCAAATTGAAGATGGGTTTCGACTCCCTCGCGAAGTTAAGAAGAGGGGAGAGGAGCCCTAGAGGATTTTCTAATAGCTCGGTTTGTCTGTCCTCAGCCTAAGCGAGTGGCTCTACAACAATGGGCAACAGGTCTCTGGGGTCGGGATGGTCCAGTGAAGGTGTCGAAGTTTGGTCCTGCGCTGCTCGTGTTTCAGTTCCCATCGGCGGCAACAAGCAAATGGGTTTTTTCCACAGGTCCCTGGCATTTCCAAGGTAACCCGATCTAATTTCGCAAATGGTCACCGGGCATACAACCAGTTGAAACTCTACCAATTTGAAACTCTACCAATTTGGGTTCGAATCTGGGGTATTCCACTTGAATACCACTCGTTTGAAGGGCATGAATGGATTGCGAGTATTCTAGGGCCACCTCTTTGGATGGATAAGTCGACCAGGGTGGGAGCATAGTTAGGGCCAAAAATATGTGTTGACCTAGTAGCTCAGAGTGGGTTTCCTTCCAAAGTTCGTTTATATCCTAAGGATGATCCATCTTTTGAAGTGGAGATTGAATAATTGAACAAGCCTTTGGTATGTAGTAGGTGTGAAGTTTATGGTCATGACTGTGAATGGCTAGCTAAAAGGGGGAAGAAGTGGGTGCCCAAGCAGAGGTCTGAAGTAGTAGTCCAGCCATCAGTTGAACAGCCTGATGAAAATCAACTTGGTCTGAACAAAGGGAAGCAAGTTATTCTGAGTAGTCCTCTCCACGACGAGATAGTGGAGTCTTCTGGTACAAATGTTGTTGACCCTGGGACTGAAGACATAATCTCTTTTCAAGCTGCTCTCATTATTGGGAGTCCTACTGTGAGTTTTGTTGAGGCAGTCAAGGGATCATCAGTTGCTACTAAGAGTCCTTAAGCTCCTAAGCAATTGTCTGTGAGGCCTAGCTCATCAAATTCATCTGGGAGGCTGGCTGAGCATACCATTCCTGTAGGTAAAGAGACCAACAATAACCCCTGTATAATGGTGGGAGGTCCTACTGGAAAGAAAAAGCCGCCAACTCCTTATGTTCCTCCTGCTAAAGAGGGGAGGGGGAGCAAGGAAGAAGAAATGAAACTCCTAGTATGGAATACCAGAGGGTTCAAGGACCCTGACAAAAATAAAGTAGTACAGTCTATAGTTAATAAGAAAAGTATAGATATAGTAGGAATATTAGAGCCTGTGAGTTGGAGAAGATCATTAGTAAGAAATTCCCAGGTTGGGAGAAGGAGGTTGCCAATAATTCGGTTGGTCTTGGTAAACTATGGAAATTATGGAGGCCAGATGTTAAACTTCGTGTACTGGGAAGTTCTAATCAGTTTGTTCATGCCATGGTGAGTTCAGGTCATCCTTTCTTTGTGACTTTTATTTATGCCTCGAATGAGGAAAGTTTCAGAAGAAAGCGGTATACTGATTTGGAGAAAATTAGGGTTGATAATTATCCCTGGACTATATTAGGAGATTTCAATGCCATAAATGGGCCATTAGATGCATCTAATAACCCTGAGCTGAATAGTCGTATGGAGGATTTTCGAAATTGGCAGCCTGAGCTTGAACTTATTGGGAAAAAATCTAATTGTACACATGTTCTTAAAAAAAATTCTCAAAATACATAAGTTATAAAATTTTTTCCAAAACTACACATGTTTGGCATTCACCGTTTTTGACAAACGCAGTGAAGACTATCACGGTGAATACCCCGTGTTTGTTTGCGTCAGCGATCCACGTCGCTTTTGCTTTCACCGTGGCCGTCAGATGCGGTGAGGCGCGGATCGTGGTTTTCTTCCCAGATCCGACGCCTCACAGCAAGACACGTCGCCCCTTTCACCGTCTTCGATAAGGGCGGTGTATCCACCGTCTTCGTCGAACACGGTGATGCTTCCCCAATTAATTTCGGCAGAACCCTTCCCCCACTATAAATAGAACACTTCCCCCCACTTACAAATCACACCACAACAATTACAATTCTTTCTCTTCATATTTGCAGCTCGCAGTTGCCACGTACAGCCCTCTGCATCATGCTTGCATATGACATGTAGTTGTTTACTGTCAGAATATTTTACCTTCCACTCGAAATTGCGCCTCAAGGCCTCTTCGGTAAAAGCATCTTGCACAGCGTCCTTGGATGTGAACGCCATACCCACCTCCAAATTGGTTGTCGGATTATACACTGTCATAGGGACAAAGTCGGGGGCATCATTCTGACTATGTAGAAATTGAGTTGGAACCTGTGTGTAGTATGGCGTGGATGCCTCACGAAATGTCGCCTCGTCGTCGTTATCATCAGTATCTTCCTCCTCGCTCACTGATCTCAAATCTTCCTCAATATCCTCATCGCTTAAGTCGAATGGATAGCTGGGGCCAGAAGGATCAACATGACCACCATCACCAACATCATCTTCTCGCTCATGTGAAGTAGGTGTTGATCGAATGGTATTCTCGATTTCAGACCACTCTGGCCTCCAAGCAGGTCATTGAATGCCATCGGCCTCAACAAATGGGACTGGTTGATCAGGTTGCGAGTATTCTTCCGATGGCACCCATCCTGCACTACTACCTCCACCGTAGTTGCTTGAACTACCACCCCATCCGTACCCTCCTGCAAAACCATCATCATAAGAATACTAGTGAGAATGAGTTTCACCAACCGCCTCGGTCTCAACATACACCTCTGCAAGCCACATCCCGTTATCGCTTAGGAACTGTAACATCATCGTAACCACGTCATCATCGTTTATGACAACTTCTTGGTACACAACCCCGCTAGCACTCATGTCTGGATACCGGTAACTAATTTTGCCAAGTCTCGTCTGTTCGCTCGTACAAACCCTGTCTGCACAAATATCACGGAGTTCTTGAAAATTGAATCGCGACTCAATTTTCAGCATAGTGGATTCACCGTCCTCAAAATCAATCCCTATGTCAGAGTCTGTCACCCTTCCATTCCACCTAATAATAAGCCGAAACTTCTTGAATTTACCCATATCTACAATTTACAATAAGTTAAACTATTAGCTTAAAGACAGTAAAATTAACCAAAACCATATTTTACAACTAATATTACTCCATCTCATAACTAACGTAACATAACTTCAACTAACAAACAACAGCATAAATTCGAAAATTAAGTACTAAAATTGCTATGATAAGTAATTCATATCATAACAATATAACTACTAAAAACATCATTAGGCTATAATACGAAAAGTAAATCATACTATAACTACTAAAAACATCATCAAGCTATAATACGAAAATTAAATCATACCGAAAATTCCTGTTCTGTGTATTATGCTCGGTTTTGGTTGCTGAAATTTGAAGAGGGGGGAATGGTTATGTTTTTACAACTGCTGGTGGTGTGGTTTTTGTAGGAAAATCTGCCTACTATTCACCGTTTTTGTCAAACACGGTGAACACCTGACTCACTCCTACTGTCACTCTAGAAAATGGCCAAGTGTAACCACTTCCTAAAGCGTAGTATAGCGGGTTTGGGTTTTAATGTCAACCCGGGTCCTAGATATAATGACTACTCAGTGAATTCGTATTATCTAGCAATGAAACTTTAGTGAAGGTCTAAACTAACAAGCAAGCAAAGCAACTAAACGGTTGTTTTCAGGTTAAGAGAGGTCACCCAGATATGGTTCCCCCTAGACTGCAGTTAAGCCGGATTGTAATTACCAAGTTCAATTTCTATGATAGTTATACTGCGGAAGGTTCTCAAACAGTCTGAAGTCTCGACTAAAGGTCTTCAAACCCTCTCAATCTGAGTCTCTAGCGGGCGACTAACCTCCACCGGAGTAAACAGATTGAGGCCCTAACGAACCAAACCTCCACTACCGAATGGAATTCGGTACAGAATAGCGAATTGGCTCCTCGA